GACAGTATCATATCTGGGAACTGCGGTGTGGTCGCAATTTGAGTCACCCAGCCGTTGTGGCCCTTGAGGGTGCCACGAAGGGTCATCTGTTCAGTCATGTTGACGGCGGGTGCGGAGGTCGCCGCAGCGACGAGGATGGCAGTGGATAACTCAAGAGACGCCGAGAGGACAGCCGCTCCCGCCGCGGCTCCACTGAGTGAAAGACCGAACCGCTCACACAGGAACCGGAAATACCCCCCGCCCGGCCAAAATGGCGGCCCCCAGGATTAACTTTGCTCAAGATGGCGGCGCCAAAAAAAACAAACAGCGGGGGATAGTGAAGGACAACATGGTCCTCTCCGCCACTTCACGTAATGCGACAGCGCCGGAAAAATATATTCTGAAACTACTGAGATTAGGAGTTTAAAAAGGTTCCTCAAATGTTGACCTGAACCTGATGTTCGGAAGAGTGGAAACGTACGGCACATTCACATAAAGATCGCTGAAGGGCTCGCTTGACCTTTACGTCAGCGCGAGCTCCTCCCCTTCCGCTTACTGCTCGAGGGGACGAGAGCGGCCCCGTTTCGTTAACAAGTCGCAATGAGTTGTATTCTCGGACTATTTGTTAAAGAAAAAAACGTATACTCAGGAGTTTAAAAACTTGTAAAGAGAAAGTCCATCTGGATGATAACAACAGCCATTCTCTGTGCGCATTTACTTTCCTATTTGTAAGATGCTTGAGTCTTAGTTTCTATTTTGTGAAGTGACTCTGGAAGTAATAGTTCCAGCCTCATATGAAGGACAAGTAAGGTAAATCGTCCAGAACAATATCTGGTAGGAATTTGCTCTGTTAACTTTAGAGGGCATCCGTTGGACACCTGGTCGTGTTTTAGATCCTGAGGATACGGCTGGAAGGAAAGAATCACGCTTTCTTGAGCGAGAAAGTGAAGCAGAAATAGCAAGCGGATCGATTTCCAATCAGGAACATTTCATTTGGAGGCAGAGTTAAGTGCAAACATCTTGAGTTATAATTAGAGAAGTATTGGCTGAACAATGACTCGGAGAAGGAGGGAGCTGACACAGGCTTGGTGGGTTTAGGGAAGGATCTTGGACACATGCTGGAGGGATGATAGCAAAAGTTAGGGAGAGGCAGTGGCAGGACCCAAGCCTTGAGTGCAGTGAAGATTCCTCTGCTTTCAGTTGCAGCTTCCTTTGGACATTAAGCATTATCTTGGCTGCTCCCTCTACCACCCAGCCGGCTGACTGCCCTACGCCCTATCTGTAGGCATTACCTACCTCGCTGGCACCTCCCTTGGTTGCCCTTTCACTCAAACTCTCCTGTGATCCACGTTTTCTTCTGTACGTGTAAAAGGCCCAGTGTCTAGTCCTCACCCACCTCAGTGTCCAGCTAGCTATCCTTCATTTGGGGTAAGTGCTCCACACAAAAAACGGTGGTGCTAGACTTATATGTCTAATATGCTATGCAAAGCCTCTCTGTCTATTGGTAGATGCAGAGGAAACCCCTACTACTTCACCTTCACTTCTGCAAATATCACCAGTAGTAAGTTATAAGGGGCAAAACCTCAGATACCCTCATTTTGTAGTTTCTTTAGCTTTGCTCAGGAAGCCCCAGTGGAATCTGTTGTTGTTTGTTGTTATGTGCCGTCAAGTCGCTTGCGACTCATAGCGACCCTATGTACAACAGCCCTGAACTCTGCTCTGTCCTGTGCCAGTTGCACTGTCTCTGACACTCCCATCCCGATTATCCCAGTCACTGAATCAATCCACCTCATAGAGGGCCTTCC